TTTTTTGTAAAACCCAATCGTCATCAACGTAGTGCGCTGTGACACATAAATATCCAGTTTTATTACACCCCTCCCACAGATCAGAAGTGCAAGACACAGTAGCATTAAAAGTCCTAAAATTATCAACAAGAGATTGTCTCATTGCATAAAAAACTTTCATGCAATCAGAACGAGTTGTGTTTCTACTTACCCGTTTAAATTGTGGGCAAAAGGCTGTCTGGATGAATTTTTTGAAGGAGGCATCATCTGCAAAAGAAAGAGGCAATTCGGCACTAGCTAGAAATTTAGCTAGTGCCTCACGAGCACGTTGTGCATCGTATGTAAAATTTTGTAACCCATGTGATGTGAGTGACAGTGTTTGTTGGTGGGAGTCCACACTCCTACCTTGGTGCAACGGTAGAAATATTTTTCAATGTCTATCCAGATGACTAGTACCCCCACCCTTTTTATTAGAAAAGTGCTTTTTACAATATTTACATACCGCACGAATTTCCATCTCACCTGTTTTTGGATTTGGTTGGGGCTCATCGGTGAAATGCTGCCATGTCGGAGAAGTTCGCGGTCTTTTTCCTCTGCTGCGTTCTCCAGCTTCTTCGTTGTATACTGAAGCATTATCCATCGGAGCATTTTCTGGTTCAGTGGGGGTGGGGTTGGAAGGCATCATTTCTTCCTCAAAATATGTCTCCTCACGAAGCTCAGGAAGAGCAGTGAAATTAGAGAAATTTGGTGAGGCCATTTTCTAGAAATTGATAGAACTTGATTGAACTTTGTAAATGAAAGAGCTAGAAAATGAATGAACACGAGAAAAAAGCTTAGAATCAAAATCAAAAAGAGAAGTTGAGAGATAGAATGAGAGTGAGATGAGAAGATGAAAGTGAATTATTGTGTGGGATTTATGGTGGAATTAAGGGGTATTTATAGGGGATTTTTGGGTTAAAATTCAATTTTGGGCCCTTCGCGGGCCCAACGTGCGGCACGTGACGGGCCTCCCGTTTGGCCTATCACGTGCCAAACGGAAGGCACGTGACGGGCCAAACGGGAGGCCCGTCACGTGCCGAACGTTGGGCCCGCGAAAGGCCCACTAGACCAAATGAAATGGGCTTTTCGTGGGCCGTTTCACGGGCTTGGGCCGGGCCGAATAAGGGCCGTGCCGCGGGCCTTCACGTGTTTGGGCCACGAGCTGAGAAGTTGAGGCCCAGCCCTAGTCCATTACACGTGCCGTGCCGGCCCGGCCCGTAACAGTAACGAACCAGGCCATGCCGAATCATGCACTATTACGGGCTGGGCTGGGCCGTCCATGGACGGCCCCGCCCATTTGACACCTCTAAGGGTATCTTATCATTGAAAATTCCTAAAAAAATGTGCACAACCAACAATCATCTCAACGTTCCTTCAATAAGCTTCCATGCGAATATTTTGCCTTTCCTTTTTCAAAAGAGAAAAAAGAGGTAAATGTTGAAACATAAATAAATATTAAAAACCTGTAATTAAGTTAGGATAGGGATAAGACTCACAAGAGTTTGATCAAATCACGATGTAATTACTTTGAATTCAAGAGAGTAAACATAAATTTAAAATCTGACTTTGGGTCTTTTTGAAAAGAAATTGTTGGTTAGGAGTAACTAGCAAGCAAACCCTAGAGTAGAAACAGCTCACAAGTGACCCTTAATATTATTTTTAGGAAAAATTTCATTTTGATACCATCTGTTATATCGAAATTTGAGTTTGGTATCATTTGTTTTTAAAAATTTTATGTCGGTATCTTAACCTTTTAAAAAAAAATTTTAGTACATCGAAACCATTTTTTGGGACAGATAAAGATAAAATTACCCTTATTGTAAAAATTCATATATTGACCAGAATTTTGAAAGAAAAAAAAAGGATTTTTAAAAGTATTATACTTGTAAATAAATACCCAAAAACCCATTAAAAACCTGCTTCTTTCTTTAAAATTATGACGTTTGCGTTTTGTTTTTCATTTGGGTTTTTTTTTGTTCGGTGCTCTTCCTCTCTTCTCTCTTGAAGTTGTTTGTTCTAAATATTGTTTTCAACTAATTCTCGTGGTGTTCGATGGGTGTTTAGTTACAGGTATAACAATTTTTAAAATCCTCTTTTTCTTTAAAATTCTGGTCAACAAATGAATTTTTATAATAAGTGCAATTTTGACTTTTCATATCCTAAAAAATGGCTACGAGGTACCAAAAAAAAGATTTTCTAAAAGGTCGAGGTATCAATATGAAATTTTTTAAAATAGAAGGTACCAAACTTAAATTATGATATAACAGAAGTACCAAAATGAAAATTTCTCCTTCTTTTATGATTTATTATCCACATATCTTTCTATATTTCATGATTATGGCTTTTGTTTGGTAGTGTTGTAGATTTTGGAAAAATTACTTTTAGCTATGCTGAAGTAAGAAGCAGCTGTTACAAAAAGCAGTTGAGTGTTTGGCAAACTATAATTATAGTAGTCGTGATGGTTCTAAAATCAGTGTAATAGCGTTTGGTAAATTATGAAGTTAAATTGTTATGGATAGTTAAAAATTACGACTATATTATATTATATTATAACATAATATATATAATTACAATATAATATAATATATATTTATTATTATATTTAATATAATAAAAAAACTATTATTTTATAATATATTATATAATTATGATATAAAATATAATAATATTTTTAAAATAATAACTGAAATAATTAAAAATAATGATTATATTATATTATTCTATAATATAATATATATATATAATTACAATATAATGTATATTTATTATTATATTTAATATAATATAATAAAATTATTATTAAATAACATATAATATAATTATGATATAAAATATAATAATAGTATTAAAATGGTTAATATAATTATAATATTATAAAATATATTATAATATTACATAAGAAATATTAATGTTTCAATTATAATATAATTAAAAATTACAACTATATTATATTATAATATATTATATTATATTATATAATCATTATTATATAATATTAAAAAAAATATATTATAATTAATATATTATATAACCATAACGTGTGT